GAGTCCATCTTAAGAGATCTGCCCTGGTGTGGTGGTTAACATGATAAATATGTCTGTCCATTTGGTGCGGATCAAGGTCTGTGGAATGGGAATTTTTCCAATGGAAAGCTCCTCACATTAAGCTGGGTGACCATTTATTTATCAAAATACAGTTCTCGGCAAAATACGTGTCAGGGCCTTGAGAAAATCAGCCCAGTGGTACAGTTTGTGTTTTGCGGCAGAGAAAAGCAGCACCTTTTAATAAAGGCCATATTGTGTCAGCTGGTGAAAAGGTTGGGCGCTTTAGAGGTCAGTGGTTTCTTTCCACCACTGGGTACCAGCATGCGATTAACCCCCATGATTCCTTGCACACATCCAGCGTAACACAGTAAGAATGATGCTATTTTATCAGATAGGTCAATCGAGAACAAATTCTGATTGACAATAATGGCCTGTAAAAACTCAATGGCAGAGTATGTCTTGGAGCAAGTACATTGCACTGGGGTTAAAGTTACACCATATCATCTAGGATTTGAACCTGTAACCCTCTACTCCAGAGTCCATAGTCCATAGCCCTACCTACTGCTCAGCACTCTACATCGGGTGGCGAAGACTCAAATATGGCACCAGCGGTAATGACATTTATACATTTTTACACTATTTAAAAAAATAGTTCCACCAAACATTTAGGCCCAGAAGGCAGGCTGCTTCCGTCTTTGCATGCTGCAACTCTTGAGCACCTATTACATAGCCGAGGGAGTGGAGAAAAAAGAGTGGATTGGAAGGGTGAGTGAACATGGTGGTGTGTGGGGGGGGCTAGACAATGAAAGTGTTAAACATCAGTCAGTTCGTGTCTTGGATGTCTGTTTTCCCTTTTTCATTCCCCGAGCAGTTTCAAAGCATATTCTCCAGTGTGTTTGCAAAAGGCTCTCTGTTGGAGTATTTAACATTGCTAGGAGCGAAGGAATAGAAGAGGAGTCAGTGTTGATTATTCCTCATCAGCCACAAGGACATCCACTTAACGTGTGAATAAATGAGTGACACGCCATGCCCTGCTGGAAATGGCCTCCGTGTAGCTCTAAGCGAAATGTTAGTTAATGTCTTCCATTTGCTGAATAGTAGCAGACGCCTGTTGGACACGTAAGGCTGTACAGGCGGCCATGATTACTTTGTTTCTAGTCAAGCATTTTAATCAGTAATTTTATGCACTGATCAGAGGAAGCCAGCTAACGACTCTCTGCTCTCCTAGCGCTTGAAGTATCCCCTTTGCGGCATTTAAATGGAAGTCTGATGATCAATAGGGACGCTCCTGTCTGTTTCTCACCAGTTTCTTGTGAAGGCTGACTATATTCTCTGAACCCTGTAATTCCGTCACTCTGAATCAGTATTTATTTGGTTGCGGTGTTCCTGGCGAAGTATACGTATATGAAGCCGAAGCAATCTGTTACATTTTTTTCCCACATAAATACATTCAATATCGCTGTGTGCTAAAGGTCAAAAGGACCAATAGTGAATTAACCGCAAAAAAAATGAACATTGTGGGAAACGCAAGCTAGCAATTAAAAAAATAAGCATATAAACTCATGAAGCAGTTATTGGAGTTATATCATTTTCTGAGACTGAATTAAGAACTCCTGACATAGAAAAAAGTCTGATTTAGGCACATTATTATTGTTGTTATTATTATGTGTGTTTTCTTTTCTAACTTTTTTGGTAGTAGTACTAGTATCGTTGTTACTGTTGTTGTTGTTGTTGTTGTTGTTGTTGTTGTTGTTGCTTTCGCTTTGCGTTTAGCGCGGATTGAACGCGCCGTCCCTCTCTCTCTCCCAGGCCCACTGAGGCGGCCGGCGGGCGAGTGTCCTGGTCACTATGGCGCTGGGGAACCTCCTCGGCCGGAGCTGGTAGCGCGCCGCCGAGAGAAAGCGGGCTTAGAGCAGAAAGATGATGACATCAATCAGTGTCAGGCACGGACGCTGTGATTTATGAATATGCATAATGAGCGCTCATTTAGAAGGGGGGCTTCGCGGGAAGATAATTGATTAGACAGGAAGACAGCATGGAGAGAGGAGCAGGGGAGGGCCAGCTTCTCTCTAAAATCAAAAGCCCGAGTCCCAGCTCCTTCCCTTCGGCCGGGTCTCTAAGCCAAGGCATTTGCAGGAGCTCTTACTGCTGGAAACCGGGAGCCCTGTCGTTAGCGGTGATCAATCTGTTCGTCCTGACCGCCTTTCACTGCGATTAAAATGCTGAACTCAACGTCCAGGCGACATGAACTATTACCTGTTCTGTTTCTTCTTTTTTTTTCCCCTGAAATAAGTCTTTCTATGGTCTGGCGTTTTATTACTTTTTGGAGTGTTTAAACTATTGTTCACTAAATCTTTATTTTCAGCGTTTTTTCCAAGTGTGAGTCCAACTGCCGGTGTTTTCTTTAAAAGGCATGAACAGCGCGAAACCGTTGAGATATTCTGATCATTTTGATTTCAGAAAGGGCCCGAAATAGTTTATTTTCTTTTGTGCATCACATGTAAAGCATAAAAAAATGACCAAGGCTTCTACAGTTCCCCTCTATCCGCTCTTAAAAGGTTTTAAGAAATGGTGCCATGGTTTTCAAACCTGGTACAATGCCTGAATCCATGTACGCTTTGCTTAACTTTCTTGCACAAGTATCCAGTGTAACCTGTAGCATTTTTCTCCCTTGTGATTTTATAGATTTAACTAGAATAAATAACCGTTGATTTCCGTCCTTCTCATTTAGAAGCCTGCTGCGAAAATCTGGATTTTTCCCTTTAATTTACGGCCTTGCATCACTGAGAATAACCTGCTCTCAGTGCAGAATCAGCAAATAAAAACGAACATTGCCGATAAAGTCGAAACTATCGATTAAAAATCATTTCCACCCCGTTCCAAGGAGTTGCGCTTCTGTGCTCTGAACGTTTAAATTCTTGAGTAACCTCTGCAGTCTTAATAAATCTACACACTTCTGAACAGTCACTAACCAGTAAAGAAAATGCAGGAAACGCGCAAATTGTTTACTTTTTTAAATTAGTATTTGCCAAAATGTGTAGAAAAATAAGAAAATGTGAACCCAAATGGAAAACTTAATTTAATTAAATCGATAGCATTTAACTCTTCTAAATATGCCAATTGATAAAGCAATCTGAACACGTATAATGATGACTTTTCGCTTCTATATGTATGTGTATAACCTATTGTGAAAATGTTTGAGATGGTTCTAATTTAATTGCGGCGTTTTAATGATGTTATAACAGGGACATCTTGTCATCAGCTGTCTGTTTTAATTTTCGCAAAGAGATCGGACAATTCAAAGAAGAAATTCCAATGTTTAACAACTCTGAAAAGTGATTTTGTTTATTAAGGGAAAAATAAAATTATTTTAATAGAACGGAAAATAAACCTTTCTGAAATGAAACTATTATATTGGGGCAAAGTGAGCGCATAAAATTTATTTTTAAGAGATCGTTTTGTGACGACCCGCACATAAATCGCTCAAATTATTCAGTTCACTACAGGCGAGTAGAATTAAATGAACAAGATACAAAAAATCTGTGTTCGTTAATAATAAAAGTAAGTACACTAAAAATAAGAGGGGACAAAATACAATTTTACTTAAACTACTTGTTTAGTTGTAAAACTATCGGATTTTTAATTATTTAAGGGAAACACGAATCTCTTCCATTTTAGTCGACAGTTCAACACTTGGTGTTCTGATTACTTTACTGATAGAAAACTATTTTCATATTGTCGAGTTGTGCTGACAATTTTCGTTTTAGACAAATTTATGGATTTTTTTTTGGAGTTTTCACGTTTTGTTTCGCTCTCAGTCACACTAATCAAGTTTTACATCAGGAAAAGGCGCAGAGCACATGTGTTTATAATTTAGCGGTGTTATAATTTGCGTGAAGATTAAAAGTGGTCGTTTTGAAGCACTTTACTCATTACAGAAACAATGTCGTTAATCCACGGCCCTGTGTCTGCTGTTGAACTGCCTAAGTACACTTTAATAAAACGAAAAATGTTTCAAGTACCGATAATATATTATTAGTGTTGTTAGTACCTGTAGTGGTAGGCCTAATTACATTGTTAGAAGAGATCGAAAAGTCTTACTATAGTACAATAATTGATATTTGCAGTATTTAATGCATTTTAACTATTTATAGATATTTTAACCATTGTGTTTTAAGTGTCAATCGGCTTTTTCGTCTTCGTTTTTGAAATCTGAAGTCGTGTCTGGAAAAGCGACGCACTGATTACGGATGAGTGAAGCACTATGACCTGTAGAGGGAGCTCCAACTCCAACTTTAGTCCGATAACTTCCAAAGCTGCCGAATATGTAAATAATCTTTGAATAAGAAAAACAAACATAAATAAATAATTTCACAATATAATGGAAGCATATGGGAGGCAGTTCTAAATCAATGTCTCGTTTGGAATTTCAGCTTAAATCATTAAACAGCTAAATCATCAGAAACGCCTATATGTTTATGCATGGTATTAAGAATTGTTTCCACAAGAAAAAAAAAAACATTTGGAAATGATAGTATTTAACCTTTAAGCCAAGTATTTTAAAAATCTGCATTATATTCTCATAATTTAATACATCCTTCCTCAATTTTCCCAACAGCATACGACTTTAAGCCAATAATTTAAAACAACGATATATTTTAATTTGCAGGGTATGCCTTAATGTATAACACCCTACAGCACTCAAAACCAACCTACGCTTTAAGATTATTATACTCAATTACACGCCGTGCACACCAGAATCCTTAAATATGAAAATATTTTAAATCCACATAGGAGATGGAGTCTTACTTATCAACGCAACTTAAAAACATACCCGCCTAAGGCAATTAGCGTAATACGGTTACTTCTATATAAAAATATAACAACAACTAAAGCACGGTGTAAATTCCACAGCGGGGAACGCGAAACGCGTTTTTTTTTAAATACGTCCCTTTGACTTCATACCTGCAACGCCCAAACCCTCCAAAGAAACGAGCGGATAAAGTTGAAACAGTTCATTTATTAGCCAAAATATATACTTTCTTGTACAATTTCGTTCACACGTATGTACATTTTTCTTTTCTTTATATACAAAACATTTTGGACACCAAATTCTCACCGAACTTACAAAAAGAAACCTCACAGACTACAGTTTCGTACAATATTACATTAGCAGTTTTACACAAGACATGCTTACAAGGTAAGTGTACAGAGAACTGTTATTTTACATTCCTTACAACGAGTAAAAATTGAAATACAAAAGACTATGAGGAAGACAGCGCCGATAAAACCATCGCTGCTTCTAGCTGGTTCTGAGGCCTGAAAAATATGAAAAAAAAGAAATGTTAAACTACACGTAACTGGCGTGTAACTCGCTCTGAAAATATAATGTGTAAATTAGATCATGTCGAATCAAACCAGTAGTAATCGAGAGGAAATTGATTAATAAAATGAATAAATCTGAGGGTTATAAACTGTTATAGTACGTGTTTTACTGTATATAGGTTGGTTTAATTGGAGACCTCAAGTGAGCAAAGCTTGTTCGAAATGTTACACATTCAGCTGTTGACAAACTGCAATAATAATAATAATAATATTAATAATAATAATTTAAATATTGTCTAAAAACAAAGCGGTTTTTGCTTTGTCTATTTTAATTTTGCTCCATATATTTTTGTATAACTTAATCGTATGCTCTGAAAAGCATTTTACTCGTATGTAACAGAAAATAAACAGCCTCTGAGGGTGATGAAAATGGAAACATTCTGGAGTCTTAAAAAAATAAACCGAATCTACAGAGGAAAAGAAATGAAACAGTGTCTTACCGTCTCTGAACTGGGTGAAAGGCTGTTTTCAACAACCTCTTCTCTGCTTCCAAGGCACTAGATCTGTCTGAAATAATAATAATAACGACGATGACGATAAATCATATGATTTGATTGCAGCAGCTAGTTCTGTTACACGTGTTCTAAAATAATCCATGGTCAAGTATAATGATATTAATTTAGGATTTTGTGCGGCGACAAAAACTTACATGTTAATACACTAACACTAATTTATAAACCGCATAATACTGTGCAAATGTATTTAAAAAAACGATTACATTATGTTGTATGTGAAACACATTTCTGCTCCTGGGAGCAACATTAAAAGTCGCCATTCCTTCCACGAACTTTAACTGGTAAAACTTAGACCATTGCCACAGGTTGAGTTCTGTGCATAAACTTTCTTACGTCGGCTACATAATTCCGTCAGCGAAACATAAACACTAACAAAAACGCATATATATTTTTAATATTTGTGGGTTTTTTTATTTGCGACGGAGAGATCATCAGGACCAAAAACAAAAAAAACAACACTATTTTTTAAAATGTAAATTATTTAATCCCTTTAGTTCCCCGAGAGTCGAATCAAATAGCGTATAGGTTGTTCATTTTAATAAGTCATTCTAAATAAATACATCCCACTTAGACTGGACATGAACACAAAAGCCATACCTGTATCTAGATCTAAAGTTCTGCAAATATATATCTATCACAGGGCTAATTCACTTACATTAAAGCCTCTGCTTTAGGATGAAGTGCAAAGGCTGGTTTTATCAGAATATTTGCAAACTTTTAAGTTTTAAGAGGCGCTTCCAGTATTTGGGGGGGAACAATTAGAACTAGAAATACTAAAAAAGAAAAGAAAAACTTTCGTACAGTCTGACAAGTACCTGTTACTGCTGATTCTGTGTTGTTGTTCTGCTCCTCTGACGGTCTACTGTACATCGCCAGGCCAGCGTTAGTCGAACCCTGGTTTGCCAGTCCCAGGTAATGGCTGGAGTTTATTAGAGCGAGCTGGTGCGCCGAAAAAGCTCTGTTTGTCCAGTTCTGAAGTTTCCCTACGGGACAAGAAATGAGTCTGTGTGGAGGAAGGATGGCTGGTGTGGCAGGCACGGCTGGGGTGCCGCTAATTTGGGGAGACTTTCTGGGATTGTCCGGAGTCGTAGCCGTCTCTGCCAGAGACCATATTTTGGGTTTCTGGGCAGGGGCCGCGTTATTTTCTGAGGGGGGAGAGTGGATGGAAACGGGGTTCATTTTGTGCTGCTCGCCGTTCGGCTGCCTCGCCTTGATCTCTAACGGGTGGTGGTGCTCCCCACGGTCGCCGTGTATTTCTTGACCCTCTTTTACGACGGATTTTAAAAACCTCTCGTCCGGTCCCTCTAAGTCCTCGTAGCCGTCGGAGATCTCCGAGTCGCTCCTGCCGTCCAGTTTCAAATCAGAGTGTAAGTCTCCGTCCTGGTCATCCAAGTCGTCCTTGCTTTCGATATTTTCCGTGTCGATGTTTTCTAAATCGATTTCTTCATCCTCCTCCCTCTTGTCTCCTTCCTCTCCTTCGTGATCGCTGCCGTAAGCATTCCCTTCCTCGTCTGTCCGGCTCCGTGGGGTCCAGGTCATCTTGTTCTCCTTCTTTAGCCGTCTCCTGGCGTTGGCGAACCAGGTGGACACTTGCGTGAGGGTCATTTTGGTGATGATGGCCAGCATGATTTTCTCCCCCTTGGTGGGGTACGGGTTTTTCCTGTGCTCGCTGAGCCAGGCCTTCAGCGTGCTGGTACTCTCCCTGGTGGCATTTTTGGGTCTTGATGGGTCACCGAACTGGTACTGGCCGTACGGGTAAAACGCTGGGTGATGGTGTGGGAAACCAGGTGGCTGTACGCCGGGACTGTCTTTCAACTCATACTGGGCGCCCTAGATCAACAACACAAAGGGGAAAAACAAAATCAACAAAGATGGGAAAAAAAAAGTTGCCGAAGACCTGCAAAACAGATTTCCTGAATTGCTTGATTTTATTTTTTCGATGATCTACACCAGCACTATACATACCACTGTGTGCTCTTGTGACAAATCTCTGAAACTTTTGCCACCACCAGGTATACAGGAAAAACAAGCTGCGCAGAATTCACGCTATCACGTATCCTGCATGACTGCGTAAAGGCCTCTGTTACAGTTATTTTTGATCGCTCCCAAAATAAATGCAACACAGAAAAATGTTGTGCTTTCACTGCTCGGTGCATGAATCTTTCAACGTGTTATTGCTGCTGGGCTTGGGAGAGGGTACCTGCAGTTCTGCCCGAGTGGTTCCGTTGCTCTTGAGCTCTGTAGAGCTCAGAGCTAAAACTGCTGACCCTTCGGCTTCAGAAGATTTCTGTAGTTTTTCCTCCCCAAACTGCGCACTCACACAGAAAACACCGGGCGTTTCCATTTTGTTTTCGAAATATACTGGGACAGCCTTTTTATTAGAAATAACCGCGGTATATTAAAGAAATTGAAGTATCAAAAGATCCGCAGTACACCACTAAGTTTTTTTTATACTTCACCAGCCTGTTTCTTAGTAATTTCTTATATTTAAAAACAATTGCGCTCCTGTTATAGGATTATTAGTAAACGTAGCCTAATAATAGCATTTGAAGTATCTTGGGGAAAAAAAACTAAAACATTTAATCTGCATTAAATGTGTACTCGTTTATTGAAAGCGGGGATTTTTTTCAATAGGACATTTTGAAAAATTTTCTCCGTCGTAAAACGAATTTATTTCTCTAGAACTCATCCAAACTGCTGACAAAATCGAAACTTTTTTTAAGGCGGAACAAGAAAAAAAAAAAGCAAATCACCGTGTAAGCGAATAAGTCAACTGCACTTACCAACTGAGGAAAAATTGAGATATCGTTTGAATAAGGGAGAAATGCTCCATATCCTTGCGCCGCAGCGAAAGGTGACCCGTACATGGTCGATAGCACGTTGGAGAGAGCCCCAGACGGGCTGAGGTCTGTCCCGGCTCGGGCACTGCCGATCCCCTGGCGCTCCGAGGCGTAGATCGGTCTGATGTACTGATATCCCAGCTGGGGGAACGACATGGTCGTTGGAAAGGGCTTCTGTAGTCACAAAAAGCAGAGAATCGCCCCTTTTCTTGCTCTACGGTATCCACTTTACAGTGAGTGTAACTGTAAGGGAAGTCTAGGTTTCCTCATACAGAGCCAGTGTAAACGATCCGATTGTACTTTCCTCTCTCACTTTCCTATTGATCTGAATGGACTAAGGTCAGGTCCTTACAGATTGCCTTAGATTATTGGGACTCTTAGCTCTGATTGACATTTCTAGTCGTTCAGAAGCCCCTCCTATTCCTTAAGTCTCATACCCTGCTCTCTCTCTCTTTCGCTCTCTCTCTCTCTCTAACTCGCTCAGTTTGTCGCTGTATTTCTTCTAAATGTGTGTACTGACGTTGCGATCTCTTATTTGAATGGGTTTCAAATCTCATTCTATGACTCGCCAATCATCTCATTTTGTTTTTGTATGCCCCGGCCCTGCCCCAATTTTAGCACTTATTCTCTTATTTGCGGTCATCCGCTCAAATGATGGATATTTAAATCTCCTACAGTGATTAACTTCAGCGAACGTCTGATTTTTTTTTAAAGATACAGTCGTACCCGCGGATAAGTTCCTTGTCTCTACGTGTGTGAATACCACACGAACGCCGGAGGTTGTATTCAGAATATAAGGCACAGAGTTGCTATTTTAACTGACACTGGAGAGTTTCGGGGAAAAAAAAATCAAACTGAATATCGTCGACCTCTCGCTTGATCTGAGACACCTTACAGTCCGCGTTGTGTGCGGAACCAGTGGTGGGCAGATGCAGTTCAAATCCGCGTTAATTTACTCTTAATAAGAGACTTCAAACAGCTACAGGTCACAATCTACATCAAAGGCACGAGAGAGAGAGGGGGGGCGGGAGAGAGAGGCGAATTAATATGTGCACAAAAGAAAGAAGAGAGCTCCATTAGAACAAGAGAGGTGCGACAGTCAATAATGACAGCCATTGGAATTAAACTCGTTAACACTTTGTTTTTCTTGGCGAGAGAACTAATTAACAATTTTCTAACCCGTTTGCGTATTCCGTTCTCTGTCGGGAAACACACAGAGAACGCTGGCCGCATGGCATTTAAAATGACTGTTATTATTGAGTAGTCGCCAACATAAAATCTGACTTTCAGTAAAACACACCTTCCAGAGTGTTCATGATGTAGCACGTCTGATGTAGAATGACATATATTCCTACCGTACATAATACTCAAAAAGAGGCGTGATTAAAGCGTGTTTTTACTCAGGGTTACTACTTAAAAAAAAAAGTAAAATAATTTTTTTGTAAAAAAATTACATTTAATAATGGAATTAAAAAAAACGTTTGTTGAGACATGAAGGCTGTACCAAATTAAACTCCCAATACTTAAAAGAAGTACGTATAAAATAATTATTTAGGTATAAGCGTTTCCTGGTAAGCATTGAGAAAAGATTCAGTTCTTGGAAAAGAGAATTGCAGATGATTACACTAGGCCGGTAAGAGATCTTAGTCTGTCTGGCTAAGTTTGATAAAACTCGGTCTCGGCTTGTAAAAAATCCGGATTAAAACAATACGAGAGCCGCAGAATTGAAATTCCTTGAATCAATATACGAAAATCTGCGAGAAACATGTCTAATAGCATCACAGTCCGACTTTATAGCGTTAAGGAGCTGCTAATCGTTTGCAAAACAACTGCCGATTTGAAGAATATTATTTCCTGCTGTTTATTTTGAACACATAATAAATCCCCTACAATATCGACAAGGGGATTAAACCACAGCTAACCCATTTTAGTTATAATGATCTGACTAAATTTCCTGGAATATTGTCCCCAGTTTTCTTTCTTTATATGTTACAATGGCTGGTCTATTATTATTATTATTATTATTATTATTATTATTATTATTATTATTATTATTATTATTATTATTATTATTATTAGGATGTTGATAACACTTGCTGTACATTTCTGTCTTTATTTTTGGCGTTGTTGTTTTATTGTTAATCCCTAATCGGAATCTCAATAATACACAATTTCTGATTGTGCTGTTTAACGCGCTGACATTTTCCCTCTGACGCTGATACAACCGAGCACAGGATTATGGGGTTATTAATTACCAGCCGGCCGCCTCGTGCCATTCGCGCAAAATGGTAATCACTACAGAGCAGTCCGCGCGCCAGAGCCTGGTCTCCGCCGCTCGGCGGAGCGACCGGGGGGCTTGCAACGAGCCAGCGTCCGCGAGAATCGCAGCGATAATACCCCGGCGTTGTGAACGTACAGAACCGGGGAGAAACAACAGAATTAAAATAGAGGCGTTTGCCAATGACTTGAACAGAAGGCATGTTTCAAGTAATTCATGGGTGTAAGTTTACAGCGCTGCTAAAAGGTACAATTATTGTGTGGAACAAAAGCAATTAGCCTGTGAGTCATTTTGGTAAAGTTTTAAAGGAAACTTAATCCTTACATTTCAACTTTATAATCCGTGTGAATGCGCGAAGGTCTTGCGTGAAGAACACATAGTTTATATATAGCGTACTCCCACACACGTTTATGTTTATAAAATGTCTCCGTGTGCATGTGGACGTGAGTAAATGTTTTTTTTAAAAATAGGATAGGAATTAGAATGGGGGTAGTCCCAGGTGTGCAGACGAGTGGGACCAGCGGGCGAGGGGGTTTGGAGTATCCGCAGAGCAGCGCTAGGAATCCGGATAGACACGTGTCTCATCTCGGGGCCCCGAGGTCTGTCTCAGATTTATCGCCCCAATCAAACACAAACTTCACACTTTCACACAGACCTGGAAAACTGGCAGTACCATAAAAACGTTAAAGTTCTCTTCCTCGCTGAAGGACGTCTGAGGCTATATTTTACGTACGGTAAAATATTAATCAATTGCTGCAGATGTCAGGAACAGAAAATACTGGGTGACTGTATATTGTTATAGAATGCGTTCCTGCTTTATATGTTTTTGTTATTCCTTTGAACAATCAACGTGAACATTTAAAATAAATGTAGCAAGAGCACGTTGAAGATGATGGTTCACTACTGTATTATTATGCTCATTGCATTTTAGCAGACTAGTCTAATGTAGGTCATCCTTCATTTTATGAAAATAAGTATTGCTAAATTGCTATCACACAAAATCAGTGAAAACTAGATGAACTTTGATGTATGTATCGTTTATTTTATTCCAGGTGACACATGACACTACCGGTGCAATTCAGCAGATGTCAGTTTCAAATTCATGTTCTCAGCATGTCATCGTCCAAAGTTATCACTCTACAATTAACATTTGGGAACGCTAGAGATTTATTAGATAAGAGTTCTGATAACTGAGCTAAAAAACTAATTTGAAGTGGTTTGCTGCTAATATAGAAGATTAAACTGCCACACCTCTAATAAACACCTAAATAAGAATAGCTTTGTGTGGCTCCGTGCGCAATATACAAAGACGCCTTCGCAAACAATTCTTTTGGTTTGATGAATTGAAGCACAAAAAGAAAAAAAGGATCAAAGGTTGGAAACAGAGGCTCTTCACATTACTGGTTTGGATCTTTTCCATAATTCCAAGGCGACAGAAAACAAGTCACACATTCCTTATCACACACGGAATCAATTTTCAAGGAGTCTTGTGATCAAAATCTGTTAATTGCGGTGACAACGGATTTGAAAAGAAAACACAATTAATGACCCTTGATGTTTAGGGTGGTTTTCTTAAAGTGGGGGGAGAAACGCACACTAGCCCAAGTCGCATTTTCCTAACTGCTTTGACAAACAAGCTTTTATTTGGGGATGCCTGAAAGAGGAGGTTAATAAAAACCTGCAGTTTGTGTAGTTTGTTTTGACTACTTGGAATTTTGCAGCTAAAGTTTCATTAGCACGGAGGGTAGAAATGTTTTAAAGGTTATAGGGGTAAATGATTTATTGCCATTTTCATTCATGTATTTTCGAAGGAGAAACATCTACTTTCAGTTTTTAGGTGGCGTTCAATTAAGTATTTTCTCTTGGAAATACTTAATTGTCAAGATCTGTAAAGACTTCGTCGGTCTGCGCATAGATCTTGACTAGGCTATAACATGTTAACAAAACAACCATTTTGGACCTGAACCATATATTTATAATGCACGTGTTAGGATATACATCCGTGTAGCAAATGTGTCAATTCTCCGCATAAACCAACCAAAACTGAACATAGTAAAAAAAATCCCGAACCTTTTATTTAAAAAAAAAGGATTCTGCCTGATACACGCTCAGTAGACCAGGTTTCAAAATTCGTCTTTCCCTCTGCTATCTCAAAATGTGTTCTTTCCAATTCACTTTCCATTAAAAACGACATCAAAGGTAATAAATCTTATGCAGGACAGTGGGGGGCTTAATCCTATAAATGAAATAACTTAAAAAATTAATTGTGACTTGAGCTAAAAGCCAGTGTAATACACGAACACCATCTTCTTTCAAAATAGATTTAAAGTTTAATTTTACTGTTGGGACAATTGGAATAAAATTATTTTAATTACATTACACCAACCAACCGTGCATATTAAACAGATAAACTATGTTTGCTTGAGTGAGCAAGTAAGGATTTTTCGAATACTTACTTATGCACATTGCTATGTGAAACATTAATTAATTTTAGACCATAAATTATAGCGCTGTATTTATCGACGAGTCGCTATAAATCAAACCTTAACAAACGACCGACGTTTCTTCTATCTTGCTACGTGTCCGAGCGAAGGAATTTTACATTGAAACTGCTCGCATACATGTATGAATGTGAAAAGGTGCTTTTAAACGCAGTTTTGTAAGAAAGAATGGGCTTTTGTGTAAAGGCCAGACATATCTCTAGGCGTTACAGAAATTGGACCATTATGTATGAATTGAGCGTGTGCACGAGAGTGTATTTAAGGCCTGTTCGTCGTTTTATCTTTTCATTTCCAAAATACATCGCAATCCTTTCATACATTTAATATTGTGCTTTGGTTAGAAATTTCTTGTTACCGTTTGCATCTGCTATTTACAAAGGAGGTATATGGTGTGATTGCATCATATTTCTAATCGGTCTTGGTACCTCGCAAAACCAAATTCTAACGATGCGGTACGGTTCACACCGCTTGCACAAGAAAAAGTGAACAGCTTTTCTAAACATCCCAGCACTTCTTTGGGCGACGCGATCATTTTCTGTTTTGAGCAAATCCGTGAAACAAGTGACACGCCAATACTTTTGTCCGTTTACAGCTGCGATGCAGTGTGTACCTTATTATATTTGATTTAAAAAAAACAGCATACGCTTAATACGTTTAGTTCTGAAAACGATTAATCGGGATTTTGTTTCCCAGGGGAAAACGCTATTTTTAATATGGCTGAACGCAGTTGCAGCAGTAGTG